TAAAGTATCGTATTGTGTGTCCTTTTGATTTCAGTCCAACTGAATGCTTTAACACGTGAGAAAAAAACCTTTTCACAAGTTTTGACACAAGTCGCCAAAAGGGTCGCTAAGTCGCTAACGTGGCTGTATTTGTAATTCTTTAAATAAGCAGTTGTAATCAATTAATTTTTATTAATTATAATTAAATTATTGCATTGTCATCCAAAATGATCCTGTATATAAAATTTCAGCTCAATTCAGCGCTTTAAAATGTATTTTATGAACGATTGAAAATTCCACCCAGATAAATAAATAAATATACAAATATATAAATAAATATATAGACAGTGCGAGCTAATAGTAGGAATTGATAACCTCCCAATAGTGAAGTGCATTTTCTATCTATAATGGACTTTTTCTCTTGTAATTCAATTTTTTCTCCCTCCCTTTTTTTAAATGTTTCTGGGTATTTCAAGTTTTTCTTTCTTTTAACTCATTTTATGGTGGTCATAAATCTTGAACTCGTTTTATTAGTACCTAGCTCACTGAGAGCAATAGAATTCTGGTCATTTCATTCAAGAAGTGCAGCCTTTAATCCCTGGAAACATCTTCTATATCCTCTTTCACCCTCAGTGGAGTTGTCTCGTGTCCTTGAACTAGTCTACGCTCATTTGTAGTGTTGGTCAGTCGTACTGGTAACTTCTTTTCTTGTAGCTCGAAAATGTCAAAACGTAAGTGTTTGAGCATCAAAGGGAAAAAAAATTCATTTTTCAGGAAGTGGATAAAAGCGTCAAGAAACTTTCCTTTCAGTTTTTCTTTCTTTCTTTTTGATAGATAAGATACATAAAATAAATATTATCAATTTACAAAAAGCTGTGAATAATTACTGTTTTTTAAATATATAGTTTTTATGAATTTAAAATCTGTTTTATGTAGTTTATATAAAAGAGGAATTGAAAGATGAACCTCTGTATAAAGAACTTTTTTTAGGGATTTAGCAACTTCGTTATATAGAGGTCTGACTGTATATATCAAATGTCGATTCTGCTTTATGAGGACTTTAATTCATATTAAATGGAACAAAAATAACCCGTTTAAAAAAATGTTTCTTTAAACCACAATCGATTTTCTTGGTAGTTAAATATAATTTAAGTCAATTTTTATTTGTATAACTCTTTATTTAAAATTTATACTATGTTTTATATTTTTAACCTATTTTGTAACCTCTTACGTTAACGTTTGGTGTCGTCCACGTCACTTGACCATGGTTCAAAATTACGTGGTCCGTCGCCAAAAGCCTTCGTGTAGCTGAACAGTGCGACGTTAATATTCACTCAAACTCAAACTCTTACGTTAACGTTATTTTACCAATGTGTTGAATTGGGTCCAGTTACACTACTACGCATTTTTAAATACTGTTATTTCTTGAATCTTCCCAAAGACTTTTATCGACATCAAAAACTGGTCTTCACATCGCAGATAAAAAAAAAAACTACTCTATTCAAGTCACGATGAATACTGAATTTTTTCCCATGGAACATCTCAATCTGTTGACGATACAATATAGACAGCTTTTGACTCGAAGGCGAATGTATTTCTGCGTCTTTTTTTAAAGCTTTAAAAAAAAAGGCAACAAAACAAAATAGTGTGTTTTTACAGCGCTTCCTATCGTTTTAATAAACCCTAGGTGTATATGACGCTTGACGTGAGAAACACCCATTGGAAGAGATGTTGTATCGGGTTTCGATTGGTGTTAAAGATAAGGTTTCAGCAAAAGGAAGACATAAAAAGAAGTTGCCACTAATGGCTCTGTAATTTCATAGAATAATCCGATGCCTCTAAGCTGTGCAAATAACACAATCTTCCTCTTCAATTTATCCGAGACGAAATTTTTTTCTCTCTTCATCTGCAAAAAAAAATATTTTTTTTTCGCTACTGATTGCAACTTGAGTGTATAGCAATTTAATAGGTTCTGTCTGAGGAGAAATTTTACTCGTTTAATGTGTAAAAAATATGGTATCATTATTATTGTATTAATATTTATGTTTACATTATAAGTGCAAAATACATTATGCAAATTTTTTCGCATGCATTATTATTACGTGGTTCTTAACTCTGTATAAGATTGTATCCGACTGAAAAGGTTAATAAATAATGATAGTAAAGATGTTATATCACGCTGAAATATTTATATACACATTGGAAGTCTCTATTATTTAAAAATATTCATTCAACATATTTTTATGTAGTGTGTTTATTTTTTAAACATCAATAAATTTATGTATTGAATGGTTATGTATATTTTTTTTACTCTTACATTTTTGAATTGTATCATTAATACAGGATGAAAAAAAAAGCTTGGTTGGTAAATACTTACAAAACCTTTTCGCAATAAAACACTATTTTTGTAAATTTTGTATTTTTTTTTGTGTGTGTGATGCCCCTTTAATTTTACAGATTTTGTAGTAAACTTCCTTTGAAAGTCCATTGAGGCCAGTATGTAGTTTTAAAAACTTTTTCTTTATTACAAAATAAATACTTAAAAAAAATTAATATTTAGAAAACTTTTCAGTTATCAGTAAGATTGTGTATTGTCTATAATTTTAAGCAATAAAATTTTAAGTTCAAGAAAAACAATCTAGGGGAAAAGTACCTAAATGCTAGAAACTTATTAAATTTTTTGGAACTCTCGGAAGAGTGTGCATTATAGTAAAAGTACAGAAGAGTGTGCATTATAGTATAAAAGTATAGAAAAGTGAGCACACATTATAGTAAAAGTATAGAAGAGTGAGCACACACTATAAATGTATAGAAGAGTTTGCACTACAAAAATATAGAAAAGTGTGCATTACGAAAATATAGAAGAGTGTGCAAGTATAGAATGCACATTACAAAAGTATAGAAGAGTATTGCATAATGAAAGTATAGAAGAGTATTGCATAATAAAAGTATAGAAGAGTTTTGCATTAAAAAAGTTAAGAAGAGTTTTGCAGTATAAAAGTATAGAAGAGTTTTGCAGTATAAAAGTATAGAAGAGTTTTGCAGTATAAAAATATAGAAGAGTTTTGCATAATAAAAGTATAGAAGAGTTTTACATTATAAAAGTATAGAAGAGTGTGCATTATAAAAGTAAAGAGTATGATGTATTATACACACACAGGCCCAGTGGCCGAGTGGTAGCATATCACGCTTCCACACCACAGTTCGGGGTTCTATCCTCAGGCTGGGCAAGATCGATTTAGCCTTTCATCCCTTCAATGTGTCGATAAGATGAGTACCAAGCTTGCTTGGGGACTAAAACACTGGGGGTTTTGCTTCAGACTGACCACCTGATCGAGACATTTGTTCATGCACCTCAATGCCCAATGGTCTCGTATACTGAGATGGGCACAGTAAGCCCTGTCCCTCGTGGACAGTTGCGCTACTGAGTTTGAGAGGGTGTATTATAGAAGTATCATAGAGAGAAGTTGAAGAGTGTATATATTGAGGAGTATTAATAGATGAGTTTGTATAAGAGGGTATTTAACGTATAAGAATGGAGTTATATTTTAATTTATTTCTTCATTTCTATTTGAATTATTCTTTTGTTCTCGTAGTCTACAGAAAAAGGGGAGTGACCACATATCCCGAGTGTTTATACTCTTGAATTTAAGACAGACGTTGTATCTGTTAAGTCGTGGGTTCAAGGTCCAAAGTTCTTACGTCGATAGGGCTTGCATATTTGAAGAGTAAGGTGTCTGCTCAAGTGTTATCCTCGTCACTTGACTAAGTTTGACAATTACAAAGCCCAACACCAATCGCGCCAATTTGCGTTGCTTTTAAAGGCGACGTAAATGAACAATTAATTAATTAATCCACATATATCGTCTTTCATATTTTAAAAACAAATTCATTTCCAACTTTATATGCTAAGGCTAAAAATGCATTTTCATTGAAAGTTTCTAAATTAAAAAGTCGTGTGATAAAAAAAAGTATATATGTTATAATCAAGTGAACTTATATATTCTTGTTGAACCTTTTTACATATCTCAAAAAGTATTTATAATTGTTGTATCCTGTTTTATTTAACATTAAGCCAAGACGGCTTTGAAAGCAGAACGCCATGTATTTATTACCACAGCCTAGATAATGGCAATAAAAAATGAGCAGAATGTATTTGATCACCGGTCCTAACTTTTTTTATTTATACTCCCTACTGTTCTGACCTTCTACAAAGCCGCTCAGATGCTTATCTTCTGGTGATTTAAAATAAGAAAATAAAAATAAAAAAGGACCTCTTTTAATTACTTGTCAGCGGCTAATTAAGACGTTATCTCGTCCCTTTACCGACGAAGCGATTTATTTCTAAGATGGCAACGATCACCCCTCCCCTCTCCTCCGGCCTTTACTCTTACCTGTCGGCCTTTTATTGTTCCAGTACTATAGAACCAACTCCTGCGTAAGCATTAAATTAATGTCCTCAACTCCCAGTTAAAGGGAATAATTATCGTTTGTGGGGACAAAAATAATTATCGTTTGCGGAATGTTAGGAAGGAATTTAGAGATAATTTATTCGATGGATGTGTTGAAAACATTTAAAGGGCGGCACTGAAGGGTCGAGAAAGAAAACGCAAACAAACTGTTACACTGATAGGGTGTACTTTTGATTTTTATCGTTTTCTCAAACTGATTGTAACATTTTACTAACGAGCTGAGAATATCCATTTCGTTTCTAAACAGAACTAAATATCTTTTGCACTTGTTTTTCTTATCTCTCTGATTTTTTTTAAATTCCTACTATTAGTTCACAATCTCCCTACATATATATATATATATATATATATTGTTCAATCGTTAATAAAATACTTTCTATTCATCCATTCAAGTTTAAATAATTTTTTTAAAATTTGTAGTGGATGACACTTGATGTTAATAAAGTTTTTTCAAATATTAGTTCATTAATTAAATTAAAAAAGGAATAATTAGTAACAAACAAAATTAATATTCCAACACCATACATAAAAAGAAAAATCGCTCCTTGTGTCCCTATAGTGTAATGGATAGCACGTTGGACTCCTAATCCAAAGGTCGTGGGTTCGAATCCTACTTGGAATGGCCTAATTTCTGAGTATGGGATTTATGAATGAATGAATAAATGGTAACAAACAAAAATGATATTTCAACACAATATATCGAAAGGAAATGGAAAATTGCAAGGAAAATCGCTTTCTGTTTTGCCACTCAATGTTGTGCTTCTGCCATATGTATATATATATTTATATTAATTGTAATTATTTAATAAAAACTATCTAAAATAAAAATTTTCTTTGTTGGAAGGACTAAGTAGGAATTGACTTAAAAAAAAAGCGCTTTCAATCAAGTAACCATGTTGCTTTATTTTGCTTAGAGGTCGTGATACCACCAAAGAACCGTCGTGTATAGAAAGGATGCTCATTAAAGCTCACTTTCCTCACAATGCTACAGTTTGGTGGTTTGGGTTCCATTGCTAATATCGGCTTTATGTTGCTTTCTAGTAAAGCGTTAATCAGTTAGTCATTAGACGAATGGGTGCTCATTAAATCTGTTGAGGTGCAAAGCCCCCACGTGGAGTGGATGGCAAGTGATGGGTGTCAGATCTGATATAGTCCTCGTCATTAGACCATGAATCAAAAATAGGAGGCGAAAAGGAACCTTGAAAAATTCCTTGAGTGCTGCATGTCTTCAGAAGAACAGAAGCTTCTCCCTTATCATATTTCCTGGTAGATGCGGTGACTGCTATCCCGTAGGGACTCTGATTCGAATGCCGAAAAAGGCATGGGTGTTTGTAAATGTATAGTGCCTTTGCAGCAGGGGAGGGTAAATAGCCGTCGAGCCGCAAGTCCTCTCGTGATGTTAGAGAAAGGGGAAGAGAGGTGGGAGGTCCTTGACCCTCAAAAATTGGGGTGAAATCGAGCTAAATTGAACTGTCACCTGTAGGCTGTTCAAGGCTACAGCCAGCGCTAGGCGTACATATAGCCTCTTCCCTGATGAATTTCGTGGACCTGGATCTGACGCATTCGAGATCAGTTGCCATAAGAAAACAACAGGTAGCCGCGGTGACCTAGTAATCGTAGTGACGAACTCGTGTCGGCGATTCATGAGTTCGAATCCAATTGCCACTGAAAACACTGTGTGTAAAGGGACCGATGTACGTTAAATTTGTCGTGCTCAAAGTCCTTACATTGGCGTGGTGTTGGTAGTTTAGAAAGTGGGTGTACCATCTCATGTGTCATCCCTGCGGCTCTCATAGTAGCAGAGTGTTGTGTGCGCAAATTCGAGGCCGGTGGTGTCAAATCGAATTCAAAACCTAGTACCACTAAGACCCTTCGTGTAGAGTTTGATGCACGTTAAAAAAGTCGAGGCTCAAAGTATTCACGTTGGCGTGGAGGCAAAGTCATCACGTGCAGAGAGTTGGGGGCCAGGTTCAGGTGTCGTCCTCTTCACTTCACCAAGTTTCAAAATTACGAAATCCAACGCCAATAACTCTTGTGTTGCTTTATAGGGCGACATTAATAAAAACTCGCTCACATACTCATTTCCATACAGTGGCGCACACAGTAATTTTTCTGGAAAAGGGGGGTTCCAGAAGCGCAAGTCCACTATTCTCGTATCATGCTCCAATACGACGCAAAACATATTCTTTTGATTTTGTCGATTTTCAGGGACAATAAACGATAAAAAATTAATAATTATTTATTCAATAATGAAATAATAAAATTAATTACTAATAACAAATTCTTAATCAAATTTTTCGTATTGTAACATAAGATTATAATCAATCGAAAAAAAATCTGATGCTATGGGGGGTCTGGACCCGGGGACCACACTCACCCTTGTGCGCGCCAGTTTCCATAATTTTCTGGTGGATTTCGCACAATTTCTGTTTATCCGTAGGGCAACATTATGTGTGTATTGTTTTGTTGTTGTTATTTCGTTTTGTTGCTTTCATATTACTTTCAATTTTATACCATAAGTATGTAGTCGCTGTAGCAATATGTCCGATTGTGTTCATTATTTTTTGAGGTGAAAAAGAGAATAATATAAATTGTTGCAATGCATGTACGAAAAGGAAGGAAAATAAAAAACACTAACTTGAAACTTTGTGTCGCTGACAGATAGCTGAGTAACTAATCTGACTGAAGAATCAGATGCGATTCTTTTTTTCCCTCTGACCAGAAATGAAAAACATGAATATTTCTTTGACTGATTGTAATTTAACTGCATTTTATTGCTACAGAAAGCATCGAAAAGGATCATTGCGCAAATCCATGCGTTGGAACCGGTTTTGTAGTTCTTTCGATATAATTTCACTTTGACACAAATAAATTTTTTCAAAAATCATTGAAACAAGGCTTGAAGAACATGTGTTTAAGTATGCAATACTGTATTAAATACAATAATTTTGTCTTAGTTTTTTTTTTTTGTAGAAAATAAGCCTGATATGTTTTTGAAAATAAACTAGAATAATTAGTAAAATACGCAATAACGTCGCTTCAGCATTAAGATGGACACAAGAAATAGAGAAAGCCAATTTTATGAATGAAATTTTCGATTGACAGCAAAAAATGTCATTTTCTGAGAAAATTGACCCCCAAGGGCACTGAGGGGGATCAAGGGGCGTGATAGATAAATATTTCCGTTTTTCAACTATTAGACCCATCTGCTTGAAAATTAGGTATGTTCCTTGCATGGAATAGATTTCCTCTAAGAGTTTTGCGAAAACCGACCCCCAAAGGAGTGGGGTGCGAGGGGTTAAGGAGAGTGATAGAAAAATTCCTGTTTTTGAATTTAACCCATTTACTTGAAATTTGTTGAGCACGTTTCTTTAGTTGAATAGAGTTCCACTAAGAATGGATTTTACGGAAATCAACTCCAGGGAGAAGCGGGGGGAGTTATTGGGGTGTATTGATAGACAAAATTTCCGTTTTCGAACTACTAGGACTATAATAATAAAATTTGGTTTTCCTCTTTTTTTTTTTTTTTTTTTTTTTGTTGAATTGGAATTAGCTAAAAATTCTCTCAACAGGATTACGGGGGCGTATTGAAGATCAAAATTCCGTTTTTACTCTATTAGATTTAGACTTGAAATTTAGCACGCATGTTTATTTTACGGAGTAGAGATCCACTGAAAGTTGCTTTGGCGGAAATCTACATGATTATTGGGTTAAGTGAGCGAAAAAAAAATCTTTCTACTTCTATTTTAGATATAATTAGAAATTATAAGTTCTGTCCTTTTTATAGAAAGAGGCGAGAGTTACAGCTAAAAATATATTTTTTAATATAATCGAATCCTTAATGCTGGATATCATTAATTTATATATATGTAAAACAGATATATTTATACAACATCTTGAAATACCCAGTGAAGCGGGTGGGTAACGGCTAGTATTTTATAATTTACAATTAAAACTTTAAAAAAGTAATCGCTGTTAAATTTAAAAAAGTTTTTTTTTTAGTATTTATTGTTATTGTTAGATTTAAATTATACGCGCACCACGCGCACCAACGATGTTTTGAATGACTCATACAGATAAAAGAGAGCAATAAAGAATTACATATAGTCAAAAAAAAATGAAATTATTTCACACAACTCGAAAAGTAATAAATTATTTTTGAACAATTTTATGTTTGCAAAAACATAGCTTTTCATTTCGATTAGCATTTAGTTTTCTTACAATTTTTTTAAATTCAAAATTCTCCTTTGCGATTCAAGTTTTGGTTAAATGGCACAATATTATAGGAATAATTTTTTCGCTATATAAAATCACATATGGGGTGGGGGTTATTTTGTAACTTATTTTAAAAATTGTAATTAATCGTATTTTAAAGTTTATGTGTGGGTTTTGAATTCCTACTTTGATGGTCCCATCCATGTTAGGAGTCTAAATTTGAGTCCTAGTGCATTGAAAACCCACCACGTAGAGGGGCTGATGTTCGTTAAATCTGTCTATGCGTAAGTCCTGCCGTTTGACGAGACGTGGAAGTTCGGAGAAGGGGCAGTTTGGGAACCCTCTTCATCACTCGACAATGGTTTAGTTCAAAATTTCGAGATCTGTCGTGAATAGCCCTCGTGTTGCCTTATAATGAGACATTAATAAGCATTCGCTCACAAAAAATTACCTATATACATGAATCTCCTTAATTTAATTTTTAAGAAACCACTTGTAAAATTTATTTTATGGTTAACTATGTAACTATAAATTTTATGAGAACATTATTTTGAATTTTAAATCACCAGGTTCGAATGGAATGCATGAGCAAATATAGCAAAATATTTTTAACAAATTAAAATTTGTTTATGTTTTTCTAAATTATTCGATTGCCTGTATTCATTTTAAAAATTCTAAATGCAAAAAGTTTAATGAACATTGGATACAAAGTAGAAAATTTAGCTAGTTTGATTCCTTTCTGCCCTTTTATATCGAACAGAATGGCTTCATTAACAAATTACAGAGCAGTTCAGTTCGATTTAATATCCATTTGTTCATTCAGATGATGCGACCAGAATCTATAGAAATTCTCTAATGGAATATTGAAAACGCGAGTTGAAAACTATAATTTGAATGCTATTTAACTTCCCTTTCGAGGCTTATTCAAATCACACGTCACCTATCACTCCTGATTCCCAAGATTATAATCCGAACGAACATTTAAAACATTCTTTCTCACTCTGATAATACCAAACTCACGCAGTCTTCCAGGTAACAACAATAATGACCACACAACGCAATGAAAAGAAGTAGGAAAAAAACTTATGATATCAAAAAAGAAAGGAAAAAAGAAAGAAAAAAGAATCCATCCCAGAGCACCCCAAAATGCCTTCCAACCATACGTGATAGTGCATTCCCGCTCTTGGGAAAACAAATAGAAAATTATCCTTGTTTTGATTATAGTAATTGCAACAGGATAGCTCCTACCTCTGCCAAAAATGATTAGCTACTATCGATTGGGTAGTGAGATCGATTTATCGATATGGGAACGATAAATCGTTCATGCGCGAGCAGATAATACCGTAAGCTTTTAATAGATGTGAAGAACGTGTAGAAACTTCGGCGTTTTTTGGCCTTCTCGACTGA